AAATATAATCAGTTCATGACTTTAAAACTGTTTTTTATTTCGTATTGCGTTCAAACATCCCGAAATGTCCTTATTTTTACATAGAAAAACAAAATAAATTTAAAAAAATAAATAATGATTAATGTAGTGTCTTTTATATATCCAAAATTGAAAAAAAAAAAAAGCGAAGCAGTCGTCGGCGGGACTCGAACGCACGCCGCCGGCGCAAAAATGTATGGACGGGAGCCTTAGTCGGCTCAGCTACGCCGCTTACTCGAAAAAGATTCTAATGTTCTTCTTTACATGGGACATAGTTGCGTGACCCTAACTTTGTTTTGTAATTTCTCCTAAACGAAGGCCCATTGGCACAAACGCCTTTAGGGTTTTTATTAGCTACATGTAACTATCGAACGCACTATGACTCGTTGGAAAAGCGATTTCCTAATTGGCGTCATCTCCTTGTTAATGGGTGGCACGGAAGAGGGGTGGAGTTTTATATCCAGCGGTTTAAAGCACCAAAGCCAATCAAAAGCCTTCTACACATCTGCACTATTACTCCGTCCAGAATTCCCACACGCAGATAAAAAGCTTCGGCTTTGTGCGAACCGTTAGGGATATTGACTTTATTATTTCAAACGTCTCACCTCGCTTTGTCTTGCCTTGAAGAACGTTTTGCTGCCGTCATGCGTGAACACGGACAATTTGTCGTTTAATGAAGTTTTACGTCGTTGACATAATTGATAGGTGGCGGATGGCAAGATAATGCACGAGGCGCGAGACGTGCCAAGAAAATGCATATTTGCGACTCAAGCTCGCTTTCTACACATATTGATGCAAACTGTTATGGTGTTAATACCTCATTTGTTATGGTGTTAATATCTGTTATTATTTGTTAATGCTATTGCATTTTTGCACGAATTTGGGTTAAACTATACAATATATCTCATATTTTTCTCTCAAAAACTAAACATGGAAACAATACAAAAGTAGCGGATTTTGAGGTGTCTTAATACATCTCTCATCAGGATATAGAGCGGACTTTAATGTCAAATTGTTGTTAATCGAAAAAAAATTTCTTAATGCTATATTTTCAGGCGGTAAAAAGATATGATTATTCATTCAATTAGTTAGGTTTTGGTGTCAACTTCTAATATCATTAGAATATTAAAATATGATTGAAGATATATACGAATTATTCAATATTATTTCATATTTTTTAAGGTTTATGAGATTTTTAAAGATGAGATTAAAGATTTTTATTTTTTTTTATAGTTTTTATCTTATGACAATTTTGAGAGATCGCTTATCACTCAAAAATGTGGTAAGGAAGCTACATAGGAACTTCCAAGCTGGACAGTGGATGTTGCGTCCTAGCCGTAAAGCGAACGGGATGCGAACCCTGCACAGCAAATTTATGTAAATAACCTGCTTGATTTTTTCGGGAACAACTGCCTCATTTGGGCGACCAGAGCGGTGTGCATCGTCGGTGTCCGTACGGCCGCGTTTAAAATCAGCGTACCAGTCGATGATTGTTGATTTGCCTGGGGCAGAGGTGCCATAATGTTTGTCCAACCACTGTTTTGCTTCAACGGTATTTTTTCCCATCAAAAAGCAGTGTTTAATGAGCACACGAAATTCTTTTTTTTCCATTGTTCTGAAAATAACAAAAGTAGCGTCACTAAAGCTTCACTAACTCACACAATAATGATCCTAATGACATAAACATTTCACAGTATGCCTGAAAGGGTCTGTTCTTTCGAACCAAGCTGCACTTTTTGTGTTAGAGGCGCTCTCTATATGTCAGACCGGGGACTTATTGACCGATGTGTTATGTCGTACAACCGACACAAACCATCGGGCGAAAGGTCGAGGCGAACAGAAGAAGAAAGAAGATCCACTCAACAGAAGAATTGCTGCCGCCTTTCCGAAAGGAGAATTGAGAGCAACAATCATGTCCAAGGTTGGATAGTTCAGGTGAATTGATTCCATAACTCCTATTGGTCGTAAGATTTCGACAGGACTGGCTAATATGACGAAACATCTTTCAGAGCTGGAGATGGGAAGCTACTACAAAGGGACGTCGACAGTCGCTGCCGAGGTGGACCGACCACGAGCTGCCGCGAAGAAGCCGTGAGGACAGAGTCGACCGACACCGCGGACGAGCGGAAGCTATAGCCTGAGCAATGCCGGCAAGCGATCCGGAGCGTCTTCCGAGCCGAGCGAAGACGCCGCAAGGCTCAGGAATCGAGGAAAACAAAGGCTTCCAAATCGACGGATTCCCAAAGACAGTACAACGTTCCTGAAAAGCAGGAGAGACAAAAGAACTGAGAAACTCGCACCTAAACAGGGAGAAAATCTGTGACATGGGGAGCAGAAATCAACCAATGAGAGGCCGTAGGCTGTCGAGGAAAAGGAAGATTCTAATCGGGAATAAAAGACAGCCTCTAGGATGGATAGGGAGCTCTCGTGTTGTAATAGTGCAACGGCAAAGTATGAAGGACGTATCATCTACTAGGTCTACCGCAAAGCAGAAATGCCAGGGGTCGTAAATCGCCGACGTAGAGTGTGAGCCCGAAGGAATCGTCACAGCCGGCAGCCATTCCATTCGCGACATTTTTGGTGAGTCGATTCCGACTTGTGAATGACTATTAGTTTGGTTTTGGATCGTGAATCGGAGACCGCGTTGGAGAGCGGAGGCTTGACCGTTTACCCGGGAGGGTAAGAGTTCGCGTCCATATCGCGAGCGCGGAGAGCTCCAAGCATAATATGTAGTTGCCAAAGATCTGACGTTACATGCCGAAAAGCGAGCATACCGCCGAGTCGACGTGGCTGTCGTGAACTTCGAGATCCGCTGTCGTATTCTATTGTCACGAACGCGAACAAGGATTGTAATTATAACAAACTGCCAAAGAATAAAGCTCTCTTTGTTATCGTATAAAATATCGGAGTACGTTATTGGAGAAAACACCCGATCTCTCGTCACTTCCGATTGATCGCGAACCAGCCCCTCTACCGCAGAGCGAATTGTGAGCTGCCGAGTTTGGAGTGCCGTTCTGGTCGAAGGATGAGTAAATCTGGTCAGCTAAAAACATTTGGTGGTATTTCGTGAATTCGTGGTTTAGGTGGTGCGGAAACCGTATCTGGCACCCAACGTTAGTGAGCTGACCGGAGCTGCGGATCCGCTGAACGGCTTAACGCGAAAATCATTAAATATCCTCCGTTTGTTAACGCCCAATTTGTGAACCAACTGCGCAGAAAAGGGCGTTGCAACTTTATCGGATTTATTTTGATAAAAAAAATCGACGACAAAATCGAAGTTTTCATGTTTGTTTCGCATTCTAGTAGCCACTTCGATCGATTTATTGTTCATTTGTTTTAAATCACCAACGTGTTTTCGTTAAAATCGCGCGATTTATCGCGAAACAAGTACGAAAAGTCGATCGATAAAGAGGCTAAGCGTAATTGCCATATTAAAATAACAGTGCGATCTCCACAGGACTATTAAAAATTGGGACTATTAAAAACGTCGTGCGAGCTTGTCTGCTATCGCAAGACAAGCAATTTTAATGAAGTGTAAGGAATCGAGATTAATAAAAAATATAATTAATATACACGAGTTGAAGTATTAAAAATCACTTATCATTTATCACTTGATTAAAAGTTTAAGGGGGGAAATACTTTTAGACAACTGAAAATGAGGCAACATTTATGAATTTTTTTTTAAAGGAAACGGTTTGAAATATTTTTGAAACTTTGGATATTATTTATTAGTACGTATTGGATATTATTTATTAGTACGTATGTTTTTTACAAAGTATTTAAAAATGGCGGATTTGTGGTATTGTCTTCCGGCAAGGTTGTAGCGCGAGTTGTGAAACGGTGTGAGCTTTAGCCTCTGTTGTATTAATCTGAAACAAACATGTACAAAATGTTTTTATCAATAATATTTATACGGTATGCGTAAACTTAAGAAAAGTGAAAAAAATTGAAAATTATAGGAATGGCAAGTATTTTAAAAATAAGTTCAAGTTTTACACGAAATCATTCCTATATTTTGCAATAAAAAAGTACTTTTTTCAATGATTTTTTAAAACCTATAGGTTCAAGGAAAAAGTAATATTGTTATTTAGGTATGTTTAGGCAAAGTTTTAACGAGTTCGGTCAAATAGTTTTTGAGTTATCTCTTATACCAATTTCGAAAATGCAGTTTTGAGAAAAACGCGTTTAAAGTTTCGAGAAGTAAAAACTTAATGATTTCAATGACTTACCGTCTAGTCTGCAATTCCAAAGTGCTACAATAATCCTCCAGCTTCTTCATAAAACTGATTTTCCTCCAAATGTTCTTCTCTACGTGCTTTACGAGCCTCCTTGGTCGTTAACGAGCTGCGCCACTCCTGTCGAATCACTCGGAACTCATCGATGTGATCAGCATACGTTTCCAATGATGATATATACGGTGCTCATGGTTCGTAAAATAGAAGCATATTCTTCATTAAACAAGCCGGCTGCCATATATGCTGCAATTTCAATGATCTTCAGCTCAGAATGCAGGTTCTTTGGAGCGAAGCAACAAAGAGTTAAATTAAAACTTTCGTTAGCATTCTATGTATGATCGCCCAAGCACCCTAATAGCTTCATTGGCATTGAATTGGTTTTACATTGGTACACATTGAGGTTACACTGGCCAATGTATGTATGTACAATATATTGGCAACAAATGGATCGCCAATATGGGGGGCCATGCTTGCACCAATGTTAGTTATATATTGGAATGACATTGGCCAATATATTTCAATATATAGTCAATATTAGCTAAAAATATATAGCCAATATTACATGACACGATTGCGCCAATGTACAGCCAATTTTGAATATAAATAAAATTTTATTAAAAGTCCAATGTTGCCTTGATAGCACAGAAAGTTTTAGTTTATGTTGCAGGGACGTGCAGTGTATATCGTCACATTTGTAATGTCTGTGAGACCATCGTTTTTGAGATATTGCA